ATTGCCTCCCTCGCTACAGTGACAGAGCAATAAAAATGTCAAAAAGAATATGTGAATGAAAAATCAATCGTTGCTCATTTTAAGCGGATGCCAAAAATTCAGGAACGATCAATCAGGCTGAGACAAGCGCACTCCGATGAGCCAGAATTTGACTTTAAGCGATGTTGCTCATTTTGTGGTGAAAGTATGCTTGCTGATGTAAAGCTAAAAAACAATAAACTTCAATTGCATGGACGTGTAATTGTGATTAATGTAACTGCATTAAATATGCGGGATCGGTTATTGTGTGCTATGCATACAACGAATCCTTGGTTCTCAGCTATGTTGCGTCAAGATTACGCAAGGTGGAGGATTTAGTTGCAGAGGAAGCCAGGTATCATTCGAATCGTAATTTAAAGTTTATAAGAGTGTTTTTTCCTGTGACTAAATCGGAGACTTCACGTAAGAAAGGGCCGTATGAAGAGCTTATTTCCGAGGTCATGCGACCGATATTTGATTACTTGGCTTTATACTTAAATGAGTGTCAATTCATGTTGACAGACTTAATAGGCGAATTTAAGGGAGAATATAAACCTGATTTAAGAACTGTTAAACATGAGTTGATGAAAAATTATGAGAGTGACATAATTATATCAAGATCTTGGAGAGTCTTCTATAGTTTATTTTAGAAATATTGGTTTTCAAGTCCTTTTCCGGACGCATTTTACCCGAATAAAAGTAGCGATGAACACGATGCCACCTTAATTTCTGAATACATTCGGTCCAAAATCTACAAAACTGAAAAATATTCTCCCATCAATAATTTCCTGGGGAATGCCCAATCGATTGTCCCCTGAAGGCCTTTTAACATTTTTAGAAATTGTCATTGTGAAACACAGAAAAGAAGATGAAGAGTCGAAAAAATGTATATGCTTTGCTCATTGCATCATAACGGCGGCACGGCCGAAATCGTTTATATCTTCCATTGAACTTGGGATTTTTTCATTTATTTAAAAAAAAAAAAAAAAAAAAAAAGAAAAAAAAAAGAAAAAAAAATTGTTTCTTGGTGACTCATTGACACGCTTGAGTCACTAGGAATATCCCGCGTCTTATCGAATAACCGTTGTCAAAAATTTCTCGAAAAGGATGAGGGAAGGATGTTTATGAATGTTTTCCAGACCAAGGCTTAATATTTCACTGAAATATGATTCTCACGTGTGACCTAATATTATGATTGATCAAAATATCCGAAATTGACATCAAATCCACTGTTCTCTCCTAACCCTGGAATTATTCTTCAGAGTTAAAAAGAAAGAAAGTTCTCTTGATTCAATATTATGTA